CCTCTGGTCTCTGGTTCTGATCCGTGCTGTGTTTATGTATTGATCCAGGAGGTTGGATGTTCCTCTGTTCTTCGATAACAGAATGTCTACTATGAGTCCGTCCACAACGACTTGATGTTTGTCTAGAATTACAGTTCTGACTCATCATGAACTCATTTTAAGTCATCTTTGGTTGTTTCACATTGACATCGACTCGGTTTTTTGTCCTGTTGGACTCATTCTGAGCGACTTTGTTCAGTTTCTGGTCGTTTCTCTGAGGAAACAGTTCAGCCTGAAGCCTCACAGCTCCGTTTACTGCTGGAGAACATGTACATGAGACACGTGGATAAAGATGAAGTGGAACGGTTCTAAGCTCAGGTTGGGTTCTGGTTCCTGTCACAGGTGACAGGTGGAACTCCTGGTGGCTGATGAACGGTGATGTTGGGCTGTTCCGGGTTCACAGGGTTGACGTGATCTTGTGTGAAGCTCCTTCGTAGTGAAACGTGGAGTCATGTGACTGAACACCTGCTCAGGTGATCCAGGCAGGTAGCTGCTGCCGTCACAGTCACAAACCTGACAGGTGTTAACTGACGCAGGAGGCAGCCGGTTAGACAGGAGGGAACATGCAGAACCGGGACGCCAGAACCACAGGGAGTCCACTACCAGAGTCACTGCGCACCTGTCTACAGGTGTTGTGTTCAGGTGTTGTGTTCAGGTACAGATGGGCTTGTTGTGGTTCTGCTGGTGAGCTCAGTGTGGTTCTGTAAAGTTCTTGTTCTGCAGTGGAACTCTTTGTGAGGATGTTGCTGTAGTTCCAGTTTAGAACCTGTCGGGGGAGCAGCGGAGCCGTGCTGAGGGAGGTCGGGCGGGTTCTGTCGGCAGGGGAACCTGGACGTTTACACAACTTCAGAACCTCACAGGTTCTTTAAACAGTCGGTCCAAATGAGTCGACGACTTTATTCACATCTTCAGCTAAAAGTTTAAGATTTTAATTGGATGTTTGTTTATTCACATGTGGAACATTTAAAGGTTTTTATTCACACTTTGTTCATATTTTTAGGATTTTTATTAAAGATTTCTTTTGCATTTGATCAAAACTCTTTATTGTTTCATTTGTGTTTGATAGAAATATATTTACATTCTTTCACTTTTATAATTATTTTTTACATTTTTTTAAAACATTTTATTAGTTTTTGGATGATTTGCTGTTTTTCCACAATATTAATTATTTATGAATAGTTTCATGATTTTTATTTTATTATTAATTTTCTTTTGCATGAATAATTTTTCACCTTTTGTTCATATTTGTGTGTTTTTGTAAATTGTTGATATTTAATTATTTACATTTGCTTAAAATTGTAAGAACATTTATGAATATTTTATGAACTTTTTTTTTTTTTTTTTACCAATATTTATATAACTTTAGTTCAATCTGGGGATGATTTCTCTGTTTTGGACATTTATTAATTAAGAATATGCAACAATACACATTGTTATGATGACATTTTGTTAATTTTTTTATAATGTTTTGTTATTTTTTGTTTGTTTTATTTTTTCTATGTTATTATGTTTTCTGAACAGTTTGATGATGTTTTTATTAATCTGTTAGAATATCTTATATGTTGTTTAATGTTTTATTCTCACCCTTGACGCTGCAGAAACATAAACGTTCTCTGATTCGCTGCAGTATGAAAACATGTTGATCTGATTTGATGTTTTCAGTGCCAGTGCTGTCGTAGTTCCCATATTGCATTTTATTAATATTTCCTTTTTTTATTATTTCTTTTTTTTTTTTTTAATTCTGTTATTTTGTTATATTTTACTCTTTTCATTATTTCATTTTTAGACATTTCTAGAACAGTTTCTTCATTTCCAGGTGTTTATGAGGACATTTTGAACGAGCTGATACCTCATTTGCATATTACCATGTCATACAGTAACTCGTGACTGACTTCAGCTTCGTGTCAACTCGTCCACCTGAACACATTTGAACTGTTGCCTGAGTCCCACTAGAACGTGAACCCTGAAGCTGTGGAAGCTCCTGACAGAGCTCCACTGAGTGAAACCTCCAGGTTCCCTCAGCCCGTCAACGTGTCTGGCAGCAGCCTTCGTACCTTCTGGGCCTCGGTGGGCATCTCGTCGCTGGAAGAACTCAGCTCTTTATCCTTCAGGGAGTCCAGAGCGAGCGCCGAGCCGAGCCTGGCGCCAGCCGAGCTCTTCCCCACAGAGAAGGGCTTCCTGGCGGCCTCGTCGTCCGACGACAGCGCCTTGTCGCTCAGGTTCCCCGCCAGCTCGCTCAGCTTCCTCCTCAGCTTCTCCTCCTCGTTGTGAGCCGACGGACCGGAGGCCTGCAGCAGGGAGAACGGGGACAGTTTACGGACAGAACCGAACCACGTTCCTCAGGTCGTGGTTCCGCGCCTCACCTCGTCTCCAGGCGCGATCTTCTCCTCCAGGCGGCTCAGCAGACTCTCGATGGCCGACATTCGCTTGTTCAGCTCGTTCATCTGCAGATGAAACCAGACCAGAACGTGATTCTCCACTTTCAGACCCTTTGTGCTGCTGCAGGTCCGCTCAGAACCAAGATGCTGATTGGCCGAGAGTTCTTACGGGTGGGGCTTGGCCCAGGTTCTCTTGGGAGGACGCTCGGCTGTTCCTGCGGCGGTGAGGCGGCTGCTGGTACATCGGAGGGCCTCTCTGGTACTCGTCCTCATCCGAGGTGTCCACGTACTGTTGCCTAGCAACCGAGGAGCTGATCTTAGACAGAGAGCGAGTCCGGACCATCCGGTTNTGGGCAATGACGGTGAAACTTGGAGGGGTGTGATTGGGAGGAATGGCCTGCCTGATCTGAACCCGAGTGGTGTTTTGTTTTTGGACTTCTGTGCTAGCCACGGATCGGCCATAGCAAACACCATGTTTGAACATAAGGTTTCTCATAAGTGTACGTGGTACCAGAGTACTTTAGGCCAAAGGTCAATGATCGACTTCGTAGTTGTATCATCCGATCTGTGGCCGTATGTTTTGGACCCTTGGGTGAAGAGAGGAGCAAAGCTGTCAACTGATCACCACCTGGTGGTGAGTTGGATCCAATGGCGGGGAAGGCTGCTGGACAGACCTGGTAAACCCAAACGTGTAGTGAAGGTGAACTGGGAACGTCTGGTGGAGGCCCCTGTCCGTGGGGTTTTCAATTCCCACCTCCGGAAGAGTTTCTCCTGCATCCCGGGGGAGGTTGGGGACATGGAGTCAGAGTGGGTCATGTTCAAAGTCTCCATCGCAGAAGTGGCCGTTAGGAGCTATGGCCGGAAAGTCACTGGTGCCTGTTGTGGCAGCAACCCCAAAACCCACTGGTGGACACCGGCGGTGAGCGAAGCTGTCAGGCTGAGGAAGGAGACCTTTCGGACCTGGCTGGCTCTGAAGCAGCAGGCAGGTACCGGCTGGCCAAAAGCACTGCAGCTGCAGCGGTCATGGAAGCTAAAGCTCAGGTGTGGGAGGAATTCGGGGAAGCTGTGGAGAAGGACTTTCGGTTGGCCCCGAAGAAGTTCTGGCAAACCATCCAACGCCTCAGAAAGCGGAGGCAGGGATTTGCCCAGGCTGTGTACAGTCGGGGAGGAGAACTGCTGACCCAGACTGGGGATCTTGTCAAGTGGTGGAAGGAGCACTTTGAGGAACTCCTGAACCCGGTAAGAAGACTCAGGGGTTTCTGCATCCATATCCGTGGTAGAGGTCACCAAGGTAGTTAAGAAGCTCCTCGGTGGCAAAGTGCCAGGTGTGGACGAGATTCGCCCCGAGATGCTGAAGGCTCTGGACATTGTTGGACTGTCATGGCTGACACGTCTCTTCAATGTCGCGTGGGCATCGGGTACAGTGCCTGTGGAGTGGCAGACCGGGGTGGTGGTTCCCATCTTCAAAAAGGGGGACTGGAGAGTGTGTTCCAATTAATGGGGCATCACACTTCTCAGCTTCCCCGTGAAAGTTTACTCTAGGGTGCTGGAAAGGAGGCTCCGACCAATTGTCGAACCTCGGATTCAGGAGGAGCAATGCGGATTCCGTCCTGGTTGTGGAGCAGTGAACCAGCTCTTTACCTTTGTGGAGCTGCTGAGGGGGCCATGGGAATTCGACCTGCCAGTCCACATGTGTTTTGTGGATCTGGAGAAGGCCTATGACTGTGTTCCCAGAGGGACTCTGTGGGGGGTACTGAGGGAGTATGGGGTACCCTGTTCAACCAAAGTGCGAGCTGTGTCCGCATTCTTGGCAATAAGTCGGACACGTTCCCAGTGGGTGTTGGACTCTGCCAGGGCTGCCCCTTGTACCCTAACCGAAAGAACAAGATTGCGGATACAAGCGGCCGAAATGAGATTCCTCTGCAGGGTGGCTGGGCTCAGATAGGGTGAGATAGGGTGAGGAGCTCAGACATCCTGAGGGAGCTCGGAGTAGAGCCGCTGCTCCTGCGCATCGAAAGGAGTCAGTTGAGGTGGTTTGGACACCTGATTCAGATGCCTCCGGAGAGGCTTCCTCTGGAGTCTGGAAAGACCTGCTCTGCCTACTACCCCCATGACCCGACCCCGGATAAGCGGAAGAAAATTGATGGATGGATGGTTTTGGTTGTTTCTGCCTGGTTTGATTGTTTCTGTCTGGTTTTGATTAGTTCTGTCTGGTTTGATTGGTCCTGTCTGGTTTGNGGCGTATCGGTCCAGACTCTTCCTGCGGTTCATTCGGTGGTTGTAATAGTCGTAGTCCACATCGTTCCTGTAACACCGATCGTCCTGCATCTGCTGGAAAACAGAATTTACGTGGTGTCATTGAACACATCACATGTTTACACTGTCAGTAAACTGAACTTATCAGACCTAAAGTTAAAAATACTGTTAAATGTTTTTATGTTTAACCGTGATTTACCTGCATAGACGGACGGCGTGAGTGAGGCAGATATTCCTCGTTGTCAAAGTCCATAGGATGGACCGACAGCAGGCGTTTACTCTTCCTCATCTGGAATTACAACACATACATATATATATATATATATATATATATATGTATGTGTATGTGTGTGTGTGTGGAGCACAGATGTAGAATCGTTTCATTTGAGTTTTTGGCTGTTTTTACCACTTTGTAGCGCTGAGCTTCGGCCTCCGCATGGTCGTCCTCGTTACCGTTGTACATGTCTAAAAATTAAACATGTTAATTATTCAAACAGTTCCTATTTACAGAGGTTTGTCCAGCAAAAGAAATCCAATAAAACTGCATTTTCACCTCAACTTAAAGTTCCAGGCCGTAGTTTTAATTTAGCATAATGCTACGTCATGTTAAACTGTGTGTCAGACTGCTGGTGTGATGCGCCTAGTGTGGTTGCGGAGCATCTGGGTTCTTGTCATCTCTCTAGCCTTCAGCCTCCACCGCTGGCTAGTGTGTCAGTCTCCCACTGCCAGTACATAGCCTCACGCCAAGCAAGTCCTATTGTAGTGCCTCCTCATGGCGACAGATGGCAGCTGGGTGCACTTCCTGCCCAGGCTAAATCTACAGGGACTACGGCGGAGTTCTGGCCCCCAGAAGTGCGGCATGTATGACCCACTCCTGTGTGGACCATGCTCTAATGTCCACTGACACCCCCCCAGCTATGGGAAAAATAGCACTGCTGCCCTGCGGTTATCTCGGGAGAGACGAAGGTTATGGTAGTAAACCCAGAGAGAAAGTCTGGAGCAGAGCCCCTAAGACGGTTGGTTGAACATTGTGACACCTTCTGGCAACTCCTGCAGCTGCGCTGACACCGACCGTATCAGCTCGTCTGTTCCATCGGACCCTGCCAGCTAAGCTGAGAGGGGTATCATGGCGACTGGGCACCCCAGGATCTCCATAAGTTCTGACAAGGCCTGCGCCCTGGAGAGGCCACTCCACTGCCGCTGTCCCAGCGACAGAACCAACACAGGGGACAACAGTTATGAGTGATAAATTTAGAGCGTATTGGCGTAAGTTCGGGCGCTACAGCTCAGACAGTGGGAGGGACCATCACGTCTCACTGGTCAACTATTGCTCGCCTTAAGCTGGGCAGCCCCCAGCCAATTCGGTATTGACCCGCCACAGTCTGTCTGCTTCAAAGGGTGCTTGGAGCTTCGGACAAAATCCGAAGAGGGGACTGTAAACCCTTCACCAGGGAAGCAATGAAAGAAATCACCAGCCATACCGCTGGCTACCTGGAATGTCAGAACAATGTCTCCTGGCCTCTCTGACGACCTCCAGCAAGTTGGCGATGCCAGAAAAACTGCCATCATCGACCGTGAACTGTCAAAGCTCAACATCGACATCACCGCCCTCAAGGAGGCATGCCTCCCCTCCAGCAGCAGTCTCAAGGAGAAGGAATATACTTTCTTCTGGCAAGGACTAGAGCCAGACGAGCACCGACTCCACGGGGGTCGGCTTTGCAGTACGCAACTCCCTTCTGTCTTCAGTTGAGTCTCCATCTCAGGGGACCGTGCAAATTCTCTCTCTCTGCCTCACAACCTCCTCTGGACCTACAAACATCTTTAGCATCTATGCTCCCAAACTTTGCTCTACAGCTGAAGCTAAAGATGCGTTCTACGAAGAACTTGGGGCCAAAATCAGAGAGATCCCTCTGGAAGAAGACTTGTTCCTGCTCTGAGACTTTAATGCTCGGGTTGGCTCAGGCCACAGCTCCTGGCTGCACTACATGGGTCACTTTGGCATTGGCAAGCTCAATGAGAACGGACAGCACCTACTTGAGCTTTGCTCCTACCATGACCTCTGCATCACTTACACATTCTTCCCCACCAAACCACACCACAGAGTGTCCTGGAGGCACCCAAGGTCCCATCACTGGCAAGAACTGGACTTCATCATCACCAGGAGACCCCTCCTCAACCATGTGCTTGTCACCCGTACCTACCACAGTGCCAACTGCAATACTAACCACTCCCTGGTGAGCAGCAAGGTGCGTCTCCAACCAAAACAAATCCTTCGCTCCAAGCAAAAGGGCTGTCCTCATCTTAACACCATCAGAACATTTCACTAAAGCTATTGACGCAGCCCTTGTGGACTGCCCAATAAACAGCATCGCGTGCGCGATGGAACTACGTCCATGACGCCGTAAATGAAGCCGCCTCGGACACTTTTGGGAAGAGTGTGAGGAAGAACGAAGACTGCTTTGAGGCAGGGATTGAGCCTGCCATTGCTGCCAAGCGTGCCGCACTCCTTGAGTACAAAAGGCAGCCCTCCGAAAAAGCCTTGGCCGCCTTCAGAGCAGCACGCAACAACGGCAAATGGATCATGCGCAAGTGTGCCATTGACTACTGGCTGAACTTGTGACATCCAGACCTCCGTGGACTGTGGCAACACCCGCGCCATGTATGAGGGCATGAAGAAAGCATTTGGACCTAGAGCCATCAAGATCGCTCCTCTTAAATCCACCTCAGGTGACATCATCTCAGACCGCAGCAAGCAGATGGAGAGATAGGCAGAACACTACCAAGAACTTCACTCCAAGGAGAACACAGTCACTGATACGGCCATTGAGAACACCACTTCCCTGCACCCTATGGAGGAGCTTGACACACCACCTACCATCGAAGAGCTCAGGAAGGCCATCGACTCGCTAGTCTGTGGAAAAGCACCAGGAAGTGACAGAATCCCACCGGAGATCGTCAAGGCTGGTAGCGAGAGTTCCCTCCTCAGCCACTTTTACGACCTCCTGCTCCAGTTCTGGGAGGAAGGAACAGTGCCCCAAGACATGCGCAACGCTAAGATTGTCACACTTTATAAAAACAAGGGCGACCGCAGCGATTGCAACAACTATCGTGGGATCTCTCTCTTCAGCACTGTTGGTAAGGCCTTTGCCGGAGTCATTCTTAACAGGCTTCAAGTACTCGCCGAACGGGGCGTGTTCTCCCTGGTGCTGTGATACGCCTTTCGGTAGTCTGAAGATGGCATGAAGACGGCAGAGGCTCCAGCCAGCTCCTTCTGCCACTACCGCCAACTACGTCTGCAGCAAATGCCAGAAGATGTGTTGCTCCCACATCAGGCTCTACAGCCACAGCAGGCGCTACACAAATACATTGGACTGACCAAGGCGCAGATACTCCATTGTCTTCTTAGACAGACGGACGGCTACCACGTTAGTTGACAGTTGGGTCCAAACTGAAATATTTAACATTAGAAGACTTCATTTTATAGCGTTAGCATATACTACACTGAGAAAACACACCTTAGCACCTTAGCATACACCACACTAGTAAAGAGTCATTTCCAAGATAAATGTTAGCAAAATACTGAGGAAAAAAATGCTGTGAGCTAATATAATTATCATGCCAGATGTGGAGTGATAGTAGCATTCATGCTAGCACATTAGCATACGACATGCGGAGTCATGGCAACAACTTAGTCAGCTACAAGCTTAATGTTTAGCATTTTCACTTCCATGCAATGACTAAATGATAGCAGGCTATGCTATATCTATGCTAACATTTTAGCACTTCCAACTGTTTATCTCATTAAATGTATGAAGTTGTGTTTGTTCAAAGACTCACGGTTGCGGACGTCCGGCATACTCTGAGTGTCATCGTCACGGCCACCTGATGCACAAACACAAGCTTCTATTAGCATGAAGAGATTAGCATGTAGCCTGTTTAATGCCATGAAACAGTCCGAGAACACTGCTGCTTCTGACTGATAACTACTAGCTCCTGACAGTTAACCAGCTCCTGACAAACAACTAACTAGCAGGTTAACCCACCGTCTCCGTTCAGCCTCTTGTACAGTGACCTCATCACCTTGGCACTGCCGAAGCGCTTGAAGCGGTTCCTCACATTGTCGTGGTACCAACCCAGAGTTCCGATCTTCAGCACCCTGAGCAATGCGACAGGCTAATGGTTAGCACAGACACACACCACATTCATTCATACATATTGTTGACCAGTGCTAGCTGCTACGCCAACACATCAGTCCATTTTTAAAGTTGAAGCTATCAATGCGAAAGGCTTTAGCATACATGCTAGCACACATTGTTTAAGTCAAAGTTGGTCATGAGCTAACGCTTAGCTTACACCAAGTCTCACCTGTTGTACCTGACAGAGTCTCACCTGGTCATGCGGCAGTTGTCGCACACCCAGCCGTGCTCCTTCTTGTTGTAGCGGCTGCAGGACTTGCAGGTGTACATGCGACAGTCCAGACACTGGCGCTTGCTGTTCACCAGGAACTTGAAGGGCTGCAGGCAGCGGATGCACAGCGAGTCGGACACGTTGCTCTGAGAGCCCAGCAGCTCTCGCTTCGTGTCCTCCTTCTCGATCTTCGTCTTCAGATCGCTGCAACACACAGGTGAGTTCACAGGTGAGTCTGTGGAGGGAAACCCCCTCCATGCTGGGCAGGAATCAGCTAACCACTTTAGGAAGGACGCAATCTGAGAGAAGGTGTTGAAAATGAACCATGTTCTCAACGCTTCAGGTGTCCACCTCAGACAGCAACAAAGACACTCAAAGAGACACAAAACAGCCACAAAGAGACACAAAACCACCACAAAGAGACACAAAACAACCACAAAGAGACACAAAACAGCCACAAAGAGACACAAAACCACCACAAAGAGACACAAAACCACCATTTCTTAGATGCTGTTTGTTTCAAGTTTTCATAATTTGCGCGACTTTTTCAGTTTTTTTTAATTAATTTTCTGAACTCATGAGTGTTTTTAAATGTCTGTTTTGTTCGTTTCTCTGGTTTTGTGATAAAACCGTCAGCTGACTGTGACTCAGCATTTTTATGAGGTAGCTGTGGAAATGTGAGGTAATCTGATTACAGTGCAGCCCTGTCACAGAAGTAATCTGATTACAGCCTGGTTCAGTGGCGCCCCGGGGCTGCTGGGAGTCGGAGTCCCACGAACAGAGAGTCTTTGTGAGCGCGTGACCGAGTCGTGATCGATGCAGCAACAAACGAGGGTTTGTTGAGTCTCGGCGGCGTCCAGGAGCCTCGACGGGAAACGTTCTGACTCGATCAATAAATACACTGAAATACGTTCTGCTTTCAGGAAATCGTTTCTCTGAGAATAAAAGTGACATGTCGGAGGAGAACGTTTTTCATTATTATTGATTCAAAGTAAGTTTAAAAAAATCTACATTTTGAATAAATAATTAAATATTTCTCGGGGGAAAAACAAAAATTTAAGAAAAAAAAAACAATTTTGATGTAAAACTGGAAGAAAAAACAATCAAATATTTCTGAAGAACTTGTGAAAGAAACTGTTTGAATAGTTTTTAGTTTAGTTTCCCTGAAGTTGGACGAAACAAAGTCTGACTTCCCAAAGAATTAGTGAATGAATGGATGAACTGACCCCAGTCTCTCCTCTTCTTTCTTGCGGAGGTTAAAATCTCTCTGAATCACCTCCCAGACATGTTTGGCTTCTTCGTCCGACAGACGGGAGAGATCCAGTTTACGCTCCATGATGCTGAAATCAATCAATCAATCAATCAATCAATCAATCAATCAATCAATCATGTAAAGCTGACCAATTCTGTTTTATTAATGAGGGAGAAGTAAAGACACATTACAGGAAAAATACCATAAAATTCTCTGAAATATGAGAAAGTTTGAAGGAAAAACTCCTGAATTTAGAGACGACTGAAATGTTTTGGAGGCAAAAATCAAATCAGTGAAACATGGAAATGTTGTTCTCAAAGCAAAGTTTCTGAATTTTCAGATTTTTTTTAATGTCTGAAAACATTCTGAAGAAAAACCTGGAACATGTTTGAGAAAACGTCTTGATGGGAGACACCTCACAGGACCGCCAGCATTCTGAGGACTGATGTTCTCCACGTTCTCCGAATGTTAGAGCTCATCCAGCACAAACACACAAACTGGTTTTGCTTTTATTTCATGAATGTTTCTTGTTAAAGTCCTTTTTTTACGAGAAGAACGAAGTGCGACATGCAGCTGCTCAGGTTCTGCTGAGGTTCCACCACACCCAGCAGGAACCTCAGCAGAACCTCAGCAGAACCTGAGTAGGAACCGACTAAAGAAAAGCTGCCGACTGCATTTGAGCTGAAGCAGAAACAGGTCCAGTCTGATCTGATCAGCTCGTCTGAGTCCTTCACTTGAATCTGAAGACGAAAATTAAATCAAGTCTGAAGCTCACAAACAAACTGAATCACTTAAAGTTAAACTGATTCATCTGATTTAAAGTCATTGAAACTAATTGACAGAAAATTAAAGAGCCGACGAACCAGATTGAAACTCACCGACTTCACAAGCTGCAGCTGAAGATCATCGACTGAACAGAACACAGAGTTCAGCTGATCATCAGCTGATCACATGACGGAGGGAGGCCGCCTGACAGACACACAACAACACAGCAACACAACAACACAGCAACATGACAACACAGCACAACAACACAACACAGCAACACAGCAACACAGCAGCACAGCACAGCAACACAACAACACAGCAACACAGCAACACAGCACAGCAACACAACAACACAGCAACACAGCAACACAGCAACACAACACAGCAACACAACAACATGACAACACAGCAACACGGCAACACAGCAACACAACAACACAGCACAGCAACACA